CTGACTGCTGAGCGGATCTTTGTTAGGCTGAAAGAACATCTTTTAGATAAACAATTAATAAACATAAAACCAGAAAGAAGAACTGAAGCCTCTTCTTGTCCTTCGACCCGCGGGCTGCCCCAAGGCCACCCCCGGGCCTTCCAGGCCCCTCAAACAGCCGAGATAAACCGGACACTTGGCGTTCCCTGGGCGGACAAGAGACCACCACAACCTTTCGGGGAGATAAACCGGACAATTTCCTTGTGATATCTCCCTGGAAAGAAAATAAGCAGAGAAGGACCCACGGAAGGAGGCAGTGCAGCCGTACTTAAAAAACAGGAAGGCAAAGATATGGAGTGATGGATGGTAGCTCAACATAATGTCTGGGCTCTCCTCACCTCTTTTGTTGCTCTATGCTAAGCAGAACTGCCACACTCTCTCCATTTTAAAGATGGGTGAAAGGGTTCAAACAGCAAAACCAGCCAGTTCAATATTTTATGTTTGCAAAGCAAAGCTTCAAAATGTAGCTCAAAGCTGTCTCTGGATGGTGCAGGCTAAATGTGGCAGCAGTGGTAAGCTCCTGGACTTTCCCACAAGGGAAATTTTGGGGCTCCTGTCCCAGAAACAGCTGGCAGATAAAGCTCAAAGTCAGGATTTGCATTCACTCATTTACTTCAATGAGTTGTAACTCTGTTACAGGGTTTTATGTTTTCTGATGATATTTTTTTAATTTTATTTTAATAGTAGTGCCATTACTTACTCTGGAAGTATACTTCAGTTGCTTAGACACCTCAGTATTCCAGGGACATCTCTCTTTACAGAAGGAAATAAATTCAATGTTTAACTCATAGAGGCATCTTCTGCAACCCGTTCTTAATGGGCAAAACAAAGATAAATTCAATACAGTGCAAATCATAAGAATAATATCCAGTGTCTTCCTTCCTCCTTTCTTGGGGCAGACCTGCCAGGCAGCATTGCAGAGAGCTCTGTGGTGGGAAAAGCAGATGCAGAAAGTGCTGCCATCAGTCTTTGCCTGCACTTAGATAAACCCATTGACATTCACGGACTGTAATGGCAGAAAAGCTTTCCAGAATCATTTGACCAGAGAAATTTGAGTTATCATCATTGTCATATCTCAGCCTGACAGGGAAAATGATTTGTCAGTCAAAACGTCTCGTAAACACAGACATTTGATTCAATTTCATCAGAGGCAGCTCCTTGTGCAGAATGAGGGTGGCTGGTTCCCAAGGGAAGGGGCAATGGAAGAGCAGGGAATTCACTGACTCTTGCACTGCTGTCAGGGTGGCTCTGAGTCAGCAGGGAATGCATCAGGAGAAATGCTGGCTGCCTGGGGAGAGGGAGGCTCTCCCAGGCCTTGGGAGCAGCTCCCCATTCTGGCACAGGCTGGGCTGAGCTGGGACTGAGCTTTGTGTGCTGGAGTCAGCCAGAGACCTGCCGGGAGAGGGAAAATCCATGTAGCCCTTCATACCTGTGTGGTATTTTCTGAGAGCCCCGTCAAAGGGAGGAAATTATGAATCTGACTGCATGTTCTTAGGAGGCTTCTATTCTATTCTATTCTATTCTATTCTATTCTATTCTATTCTATTCTATTCTATTCTATTCTATTCTATTCTATTCTATTCTATTCTGCTGTACTAAAACCATACTAAAGAATAGAGAAAGGATACTTACAGAAGACTAAAAGATAATAATGAAAAACTCATGACTGCCTCCAGAGTCCCAACACAGCCTGACTGTGATTGGTCATTAAGTCAAAACAATTCACATGCTGGATAAACAATCTCCAAAGCAGCAAAACACAGGAGAAGCAAATGAGATAATATTGTTTTCATTCTTCTCTGAGGCTTCCCAGCTTCACAGGAGAAAATCCTGGGCAAGGGGATTTTTCAGAAAATGGGAATGTGACAGACCTGAATGACACTGGTGAGGGATGGGGCTGGCCCAGTGCCAGCCAACAGCACCCAGGATCTCCCTCTGTAGGCACTCGTGGGCCTGAGCAAATCTCCTTGTGCTAATGGCCTTATTAAGATCAAGCCAGTGTACATTGCAAATCTACACAAAGAGAAATTAGAGCCCAGATTAGATTAGGGGCTGGAGGCTGGGAGCGTACAGCTGTTTGCCAAATTGCATGCTGAATTTCATTTTTGAATAGACTTTTACTGATAGCAATTTGAAGGCAGTCATTAGAGCCATCAGCTCTTTGAATGAGAAATTTCAAGGGACACTTCAGCATAAATCTGCTCCTCTGCTCTAAGAAATTATTCCTGATATGCTTTGGGCTATGGAAACCAATTACATGAATTTTGCACAATAACCAGTTTCTCCCAAATGGGAGTAGCACTCCTGGCCATAAACAGACATCTTTTTACTTCCAATTAACTGTGTGGGTGTGTAAATATAAGGAAAACTGCCTTTTCAACTTGAATTTATTAAACAGAAAACAATGAGGGAAAGGAATCATCATTCACAGTTAGAATATGAGACTCTGGCCATCCTTATTTCCTTCCTCTCCAAGCCAGCTGGAATTGTGAAAACAAACCCTTTCCCATTAAATCATAAATACTGCAGGTTTTATTCCTTACTGACTCCTAGGCTCCAAGATTTAGGAAAGGGTAGGATATTAATTTCCAGAGCTAAACTTGATATAACTCACAGTGCTCTGGCTGTCATTTAAACTTCAGGTGTGTTTTTCTTCTATTGCAGATACTCCAGAGCTGCCCTGTAATCCCCAAATCCCACTGAATTCACAGCCTAGTGATGCAGCAATGTCAAAGGGATGCAGCTGGTAATTCTGCCTGGCTGTTAAACTGCCTCATGTCACCCTGCTTCCAATGGCTGCTGACAAGGTATGTGTTTTACCTGCTCTCAAGTGCTTTAATCTTAGTATTAGTGGAAAAATAAGCCATTATTAATGCTTAAAGCCATTGTTATCTTCTCTCTCTGCCAGCCAGTTCTACATTAATATTAGGGTGTCTAAACTGAAGCTTTGTATGTGTGACTCAGGCCTCCCATGTCATTAGTTTGAAAACCCTGAGAGCATTTTCTTACACAAAAATTGCACAGGGAAGGAAGAGGGGTCTTTTTATTTACCTTCAGATTTCCATCCTTGAGGATTTTCTTGCTGGGTGTTCTCAGGTTGCAGCTTCAATTAGAAGACTTAATTGATTTTGTATGAACACCGGGATCCCTTCATTCCCCAGGAGCAGCAGCTTTCATTAAAACCACCACCCAATACCATGAGAAATGCAATTAAATTCTGGAGCTGCCAACATAGCTGCAAAAATGGTATATAAAGCCCAAAGTGATAAACACGTTGAGAGAGGAGGCTGAGCTGCTCTAGCGGGGCTCTGGTCTGGCATTCACATTCTCTGAAAAATTCCCTTCATCCACGATTTTCTCCTGGGAAGCTGAGAAGCCTCAGAGAAAAGGAAAACAATTCTTTTGTCATTTGCTTCTCCTGTGTTTTGCTCACGCGGAATGTGTTTGGAGCTTGTTTACCCACAGGTGATTGTTTCATTGGATTCTGGTGTGAGTTGTTTTGACTGATTGGTGAATTGGGGCCAAGCTGTGTTGGGGCTCTGGAAAGAGTCACACATTTTCATTATTATCTTTTTAGCATTCTGCAAGTATCCTTTCTGTATTCTTTAGTATAGTTTAGTATTCTTTAATATAATATAGTATCATAAAATAATAAATTAGCCTTCTGAGAACATGGAGTCAGATTCACCATTCCTGCCTTTGTCAGGCATTTCCCAGCAAACACAATACTCTGGGTCTTTGAGGAGAGGTACAGCACTGCTCAAACCAGATCCAGCCAAGCCTTTAGCCAAGCAGGGGCCAGGACAGCTGCAGCCACAGCCCTTGCATGTTTCCTGTGTGAAGGCAGGGCCCTGTAATTGCTGCTGGACTTGTGTTAATCCATGCCTGGACAGGAGATGGAAGGATGGACCAGGAGAGCTTCAGTTGCATCTTCTGGACCTCTTGCAAAGGTTGAGCTAATTGCAAAGCTTTTTTTCCTGAGTAGTAGTAGCAGCACTGGAAAGGCAAAAATAAACACTCATAATATGTCTCAACCCCCCCAGACTTAGCTGAATGGGAAGGAAATGCATTATGCCATTTTTTCTTACAGTTGCTTGGCTTAGTGCAGTGATGACAGCACAACATGGGGAAGTTGTTCCTGCCAGGTTGAGGTGTGGACTCAAATCCAGCCAGCAGGAAAGAGCTGAGGATTTGGCTGGGATGGGAGAGGAATTTTCCTTTGTTAACTGCTTTTGCATCTCCCACTGAGAAGAGGATCAAAGTTTAAAGTGAGCAGGCCAGCAGAACAGTGCTGGATCTGTGATCCAGTATCCAGGTGTATCTCTCCTTAATGTTCTCCTGAAGGCTTGAAGCACAATCAGAAGTTCATTTGAAATTGTGAAAGTCATAAGTGAGGAACATTGATAGGTAGGGACGAAGAGACATCAAGAACTAAATTTGCTATTTTGGTCTGGTTTTCCCTCCACTATCTTTGGAAAAAAGAGAGAGAGAGAGTGCATTGTAGAGCCAAAAACTCAGCTAGCCACCACAACACTCCTTCCCCTTCAAAATTAGGGGGAAAAATCCTTCCAGGTACTGAAGAAGGGAATATGTGCAGGGTTCTGTGGTCCTCTCCCATTAGCCCTGGCTGTCTGCTGTCCTTTGCTTCAGCTGAACTCCTGCCCTTCCATGGGAGGTGCACCTTGTGGCCTTGCACACAGAAATTGCAGGAAAGTGGAAAAGTAGTTGTCTGTCATTCAGTTACTTGCTATTTTATTTGCCCTTTGAAGCACCAGAGAGAGGTCGTCTTTTTTAGATCAATATTGGGAGCAATTTGTGATTTCAATTGTAAACAAGCTTGGTGTGATTGTGTAGCAGCAGATGCTGGGAAACATGAAGTATTTTATCTGGCAGGTCCTATCTCTCTGTAGGTCTTGCAGGCCAAGACGCCGAGCTTTCCTGGGAAGACCCACCACAGGAACAGCACCCAGCTTTTTTCCTTTTTTTCCTTTCCCATTTTGTTTTTTTTTTCCTTTCCCATTTTGTTTTTTTTTTTCCTTTCCCATTTTGTTTTTTTTTCCTTTCCCATTTTGTTTTTTTTCCTTTCCCATTTTGTTTTTTTTTCCTTTCCCATTTTGTTTTTTCCTCCTTCCCCTTTTTTTTCCTCCTTCCCCTTTTTTTACCCTCCCCCTTTTCCCCCCTTTTTTCTTTTTCTTTCCTTTTTTTCCCCGCTTTTCTTCTTTTTTCATTTCGCCCCCCCTTTTTTTACCTTCCCCCCTTTTTTTACCTTCCCCCCTTTTTCGCCCCCTTTCTCCCTCTTTTTTTCTTTTTTCTTTTTTTCTTTCTTTCCTTTTTTCTCCCTCTTTTCTTCTTTTTTGATTCCCCCCCGCCTTTTTTCCTCCCCTTTTTTTCCTTTCTTTCCCCCCCAGCCGCCACATTACTTTTCCTAACTTAAAAGCCAAACCCGCTCCTTTTCTCCCCATTGTGCAGGTCGGCAGAGGGAGAGCGCGCAGGGAGACGGGCAGGGGCGGGGATCGCTTTCATCCTGCCGGGGCTGTGTGCGTGTGTGCGCGTGTGTGAGCATCCCGAGCATCCCGGGGGATCCCTCCATCCCTGCCTGCCCGGGAAGCGCCGCCGGCGGTGTGCGGAGCCGATAAGGAGATGAAACAATGCCTGCGACACCGGGATGGCTCGGTGAGGATGTGGCAGAGTCAAAAAGCTTTTGTGCCTTCGCTGCACGGGGCAGATCTGCTCGCTCCCGAGTGCTTAACTCCTTCTCTTCCTTTTCACTGTGTCATTTCATGCACAGCTTGTAGGAGCATGTCGGCATTTCCAGCTGGTCAGAGTGACCCCGAGAAAAGTTCCAAAGTCTCTTTTCCCAGCTCAGCGGTCGAAGGAGTCAGGGCTCTTCATTTCTCAGTCTCAAGGTTGTTTATTGTATCTTATCTATCAAAAATTTTCTCCTGCTCTGCCGAGGTCAGCTCAGCAAGACAGTCCACGGCACTCTGCCTGCCTGCAGTGTTATCTTTTTATACTAAAAACTACATATATAATGTTTACAATTATTTTCCAATACCTATCACCTCTGTTAGACAGTGAGCTTCTACTCTAAACCAATCTGTAAGTGACAACATCACAGCAGAAGATGGAGGCCAAGAAGAAGAAGGAGAAAGGCTGGACATGCCCAGTTCCCTCCATTTTGCCTCCTGAACTCCCATTCTAAAAACCCCTAAATCTACTTTTCCACCCTGTGATAACTTCACTAATATTCCACTTAAACTGTTGTGGCTTGCTGATCTTCATACAAGGTTGGTAATTTGCTCCATGGGTCATAATCAAACCCACAGGGGCATTTTGGGCTCTGTGCCAGGGTCTCCAAGACCCCTGGCAGGAATCTTGGCTGCTCAGGACAGCCAGAGGGATGTCCTGGGTCCTGACAGAGCATCCTAATTTGTGAATGCTGAGGAAATGGCACTTGTGTTTCTTGTTATTTGCTAGGATTTACATTTCCTTTCTTCCTCTGTGAGACCTGTAAACCACTGCAGTGCAGCCCTAAGTGAAGATTTAGGGATGCCCAAGCTGTGCCTTGGCAGAGGTGGGAAATCTGAGATGTCCTTGCTTGAGATCCTCAAGTGGAGCTAAGGAACCAAATTTCTTATATTATTGATGCCTCATTTCCTCATTACTGCCACAAAGATTTATGTGAAGGGACTTGCAGGGTGCTAATGGAATTACCCACCTAAATCTCCCCTGTGCCAGTGGCAGAGAATGCTCTGGTTCTTTGCCCTCACGTTAGTGCTGGGTGAGTAACTGAATTATTTGTTAGCTAGCAAAACTAAAAGTCCTTGAGTTTTGTTGGTGGGTGGTGCTGAGAAAAAGACACCATTTCAATACCTGTTTTTTTAATACTTTTACTTAATCTTGAGTTATAATTTGAAATACAAAATGAAAACATTTTGATAATTTTTCCCATTCCAGTGCCAGCAAGGGTCAGTGGTTTCATTCAGTAAACTCTGACCTTTTTCTTTAATTTTTTTTTTAAATTTTATTAACAAAATGCCATCTTGCAGCATTCCACTTATCTCTGTTTATTGTGCCTGCTCCTGTCAGAACTTTAATGTTGTTTCAGATCTGGTGCTGATTTTGCCGTGAGGCAATGGGAAAGGACTTCTCAGCAAAATCAGCACTAGATCTGAAATAATAATCAGTTAATTTCCTAAAATCCCTTTGGGTTTGGTGTCTGTGTCAGGGCACAGAACTGGGCTTGGGGAGGATGCAAAGAGCAGCACAATCACTTGTGTGGAACTGACTTCTGGTCTGCTGAAATCAGACCACAATCTGAAATCAGCAGCACAATCACTTCAGGACCGACTTCTGGTCTGTTGAAAATGACTGAAAGAGGGGGAATAATTCTGGAAATCACTCTGAAATCAAGAGGGGAGGATACAGCTGGGGCTGGGCAGCCTCTCGTGTGAAACCACTTCTCTGAACTTTGTTCAAGTGTGTGCTCAGACACCGGGGAATGATTTATTCCTGTTCTGGGCCTCATCCTGTGGGGCTGGGAGTGTTGTCAGGAAAGGTGACCAGGTCAGCTGCTCCATGCACTAGGAGGACAGCTTGTGCCTATAAAGAGAAATACAAGTTCAGTACAATGGAAGTATGATAGTCTGAAGATTAATGACAGAAAACTATCACGTGTTGGAGGAGAGGAAAGTAAGCAGGAAAAAAGGAGCCTAAATTAGGCTGCAGCTCCCTGGGCAGAACACTCAGGTTATAAATATTCTGGCAGCATTTAGAGCAGGGCTGGCTGTGCTGGTTGCTCTTTGCT